CACTGCAGGACCATGTTGCACAGCAAATCCGATCGGCACCAGGGACATCGCTACCGAGGTGTTTCAGATTGCGGACGAGAGGGCGCCTCATTGTCGAGGCCCGTCCGCTTCCCTCCGTCGATTGGAATCGTCAGGCGTACCCCAGCGCGTCTTCAACATTCCAGTGTCGAACACATGCTGGCGACAAATAGCATGAATGTTTGATGCGCACTCGCATGCGATAAAACGTGGCTACGATCGAACGCCGATTCTATGTATGTTCACATACCAACCAAAAAAAACACTAACACGGCGCAGCATTTTGCCGATTCATCACTGATTCGGGCATTATCTTGATCCTGCTTATAGGCTCTTGGTCTGGAGGTTATTGTACATCGTCCTTTAGAAGCGCTCTCAGGTTCCACCTCGTATGGGGATGCACTTGGTGCCAGGGCTAGTAGATCCATTAAATGAGTCGGCAACGAGAAAATGTGTGCGTGCGCCGGCCAGCCGGCCGGAAAGGAGGGCGGGCGCGCGCGCGCGACATTTTACCTCTAACCAGACGTGGTTGTGCGCAATATCGCAATGCCAATGTGGCACCGCTAATCCTTACTTGCAGGGTGAAGGCGGTAAGGGATAAAGTAGCGAGAAGAGCGTTAGTAATGACTCGCGCTCTCATGCGCAAAGGAGGTCGATCAGTTCAAATGTTCGTGGTGCTGCTGCTGGCCCTTCGCCCGATGGGAAGATAGGAGTTTATGCTCTAAACGGTGGTTCCCCTATTTCCCTGGTTTTCACTGTCTGTTCCCCCTCGCGCTTCCAACGCAAGAATGTTGAGGACATCTCCAATGCACCCGTCCTCCAGCCCACCTGCATTGGCAACGCATGGCGGGCTATAGCGACTCAGATGGCTCTGGAATCGCCTTTTTCTTCGAACAAATAAACCTCCATGGGACAAAACATAACTACTGCGAATACGGGCTCCGACGCCCATGCGAACAAATGACACTACACGGCGGTTTGTACATCTATATACGTCTATAGGAGAGAGAGAGAGAGAGAGAGAACGAGAGAGAGAGAGAGAAAGAAAGAGAGATGAGCAAACCAAAGAGAGAGAGAGAGAAAATAAAAACACACACACACAAACAACAAAAAAAGAAAGACAGACAGACAGACAGACAGACAGTCAGACAGACAGACACAGGCAGACACAGACAGACAGACAGACAGACAAACTCTCTCTCTCGGGCTCCCACGTCGCTGGGGCGCCCCCCAGCCACGCTTCGAGGGCGTACCCCAGCCGCGCCCGGGGGCCGAGGGCCATGACGCGGAACACCGCAAGTCCTACAAACAGACAGACAGACAGACAGACAGACAGAGACAGAGACAGAGACAGAGAGAACACCGAATGATGGCATCTGCTCGCAGGCCATCTGATATCACACGTGCTCCAACGATGCTTTGATGCATGATCGATGCATGCCTGATGGCTCATTGCGCATCCTTCGGGGAAACGGCGGGCAAGCTTTACAGACAACACCCAGTCCCCATGATTCCAGATGGACTGCTGAGACCTGGGGGCGAACCAGTAGACCACCGCAGTTGCGGGTTGCTGCCGAGGCGGATCGATGGCTGCTCGTGGTCGGGTCGTAGGTGGGGTCGCCAGCGGGAAGTCTGGCGGGCCACCCTGCTTCTGATGAGCCAATCAAGGCAACAGTGTTTTCCAGAAGCCTGCCCGCATTTTCTGCGATCCCTGGTTGTGAGTGAAACTTGAAACATCCACACCCTACACCTGGACGTGTCGAGATTACGGCTTACTTGCGGAAGAGAGCCTGAGCCGAACTTAAGGCAATACGTTCAATGGATAAGATACGTCGAATTTTACCATGCGGCCCAAACAAATTGCAATGCGATTATCTGGAGATCCATCCTGTCAAAGGCCCGGCTTTGCACGGTTATCCACCCCATTCTCCATAAACGTATCAGCGCTACGTGATACGCCTTCGAGATGCGTGCTACACACGCCACCGCTACCATCAAGAGCCCGTTCGCTTTTTCGGGCCGGTCACGGGCGTGATGGGGGGGGGGGGGGGGGGGGACGCCCCGCCGATCACGTCACGGCGGGGGTGCGCCTGGGGTGCCGCAACATACTACTATTACTATTACTACTACTACCACTACTACTACTACTACTACTACTACTACTACTACTACTACTACTACTACTACTACTACTACTACTACCACCACTACCACCACCACCACCACTACTACTCTTACGACTACGACTACGACTACGAGTACTACGACTACTACGACTATTGCAAGTACTACTATTACTACGACGACGACAACGACAACGACAACGACTACCACTACTACTACTACTACTACTACTACTACTACTACTACTACTACTACTACTACTACTACTACTACTACTACTACTACTACTACTACTACTACTACTACTACTACTACTACTACTACTACTACTACTACTACTACTACTTACTACTACTACTACTACTACTACTACTACTACTACTACTACTACTACTACTACTACTACTACTACTACTACTACTACTGCTACTACTACTACTAACTACTACTATACTACTACTACTACTACTACTACTACTACTACTACTACTACTACTACTACTACTACTACTACTACTACTACTACTACTACTACTACTACTACTACTACTACTACTACTACTACTACTACTACTACTACTACTACTACTACTACTACTACTACTACTACTACTACTACTACTACTACTACTACTACTACTACTACTACTACGACTACTTATAATAGTAATAACATGTAATAACAATCTTTCCTTTACAGTCCCCAGGGAGGCCCCAGGTGGGGCCCAGGGCGCCTGGAGGCCACAAAATCCACGAATCGATACCGGATACAAATAAACTTCTATCGTTCCTTTCCGAGCCCCCGGAGGGCCCAAGGGCGCCCTGAGGTCAGAAACTCAATGAATCGATACCGGGTACAAATAAACTGTCATCGTTGCGTTCCAGGCTCCCCTTCCTCGTCCTCCTCGTCCTCCTCGTCGTCGTCGTCGTCCTGCTCCTCCTCCTCCTCCTCCTCCTCCTCCTCCTCCTAGACCCAGGCGGGAGCGGAATGGGTGTGCCGAAAGCACCGCCTCGCGTATACTGTACAAAAACGAAGAGTAAGAGGAGGAGGAGGAGGAGGAGGAGGAGGAGGAGGAGGAGGAGGAGGACGGACGAAAGGGAGGAAAGGGGGGAGAACGAGGAGGAGGAGGAGGCCATCAGAAATGCCGGACGAAGAGGAGGAGGGAGAGGAGGAGGAGGAGCCCCAGTGCTTGTATACACCACAGCGCTGGCAGCTACGAGCGCCGCGCTACGACCGACGCACCATTGCCTCTCAGAAACAGAACAAAACTGCGTCCCTGAGAGCACCACGCGGCACGCACGCAACCGCTTCCCTTCGCAAATACCACAACGTCCCTGAGAGCACAACAATGTGCCTCTAAACACCACAGTAGCCTGAGAGCGCCACAGGACGCCCGCGGTCGCCACCGGACGACCGCCGTGACGTGAGAAGGGGGGGGGGGGGGCCGGGCCCGATCACGCTCGTGATCGCCGGGAGGTTTTCCGAACGGGCTCCAAGAAATCACCCGGGATATATCTCACATGCAAATACACATGAACATACGAAACATGTATAGAATGTGGAATGCGGGCGTTCATCCGCAAACATCGGGAAACACATGTTGCGCGTGCCGCAGAATATAGTAGCATGATCCCGTCGCAGGGCGCTCCACGCAATCATCTCCGTACGTGTTAGTGCTGCTTGACAATTCGCACGGGACTGAATGACAGCAACCCTGCTGTGATTACCAAAGCGGGCACACGAGGTGCACGTGAAACCCACTGCATGAGAGACGCCCGAGAGCTACTTCTGAGGAAGTGCCGCCACGGTGTGGAACTTCTCTCCCTTGGGGGGGGAGAGGGGGGAAGAGGGGGACGCTTGCGCAGCAGTAGCAACGAACACAAACACATAACAGTCGTCGGATATCATGGCGTATGAAACAACTGTGCCACATCGGCCTCCACGCTGGCTGCCTATGAAGCAAACGCCCCGAGGGTCCCGGCAGCGGGCCCTGGCGGGTGCCCCCCCCCCCCGGCGGGCGGGTCCTCCCTGCCGGGGGGGGGGGGGGAGGCTCCGGGCAGGGGTCAACGGGTCAGCCTGCCGCCCCCCCGCCCCTCCCCGGGCCTGGGACCACCCCTCCTTAAGGGGGGTCGCCAGCGGGGGTCCCGGGGGAACTCCCGCCTGTGGTGGAGGGGGGGGGTCCTGGGTCAGACGACCGCCCCCTGCAGGGGTCCGGGCGGATCCCCGGGGGGGGGGGTCGCCGGCAGGGCTGCTCCCTGGGGAGGTCCCGCCTTCAGGGACGGCGGCGCTGGCCGTAAGGCCTCCGCAGCAACTGTGCCCCATCGGCCTCCACACTTGTGGCGTATGAAACAAACGAACGCGAACACGAAAATGCGAATGCTTTGGTCAGCCTCAAATAAAAACGTGGCAACGTAACGCGGCGGGGAGAAAGTGCGTGCGTGTACGAGGCGAGGGACTTTCCAACACGACTTACTCCATGTGCACTTCTCGGAAACTTTGAAAAAGCGAGCTCCACTTGCTGTGCGCACAGTGAACCGAAATAGGTCCCACACTTGCTTCAGCATCATTGGGAATCAACCTGCATATCAAGCTGCACTTGACCTCCTGCCGAAGTGGCTGGCTAGAGCGATGGTACCAAATCTGAAGTTAGCGACGTTCGGAACCGTGGGAATGCGAAGTGCAACACGAACTATTTAGAATCGCAGTTCAGTGTGCAACACATTAGTCAATCGAATCCCGTAGCGTGCAACATGTCGTGCCGAAACGCCGACAAACGTAATATGGCCAACTCAATAGATTAACGTATACATGTATATGTTGCAACTGGGCTCTTCTCAAACAACTCGCAATCGCTAGTCGGATACGGAATTTAGCTTCCAAGGGTGTATCACGAACATGGCCCACGCATGCTGGCCTGCTGTAATTCTCGGATTGGCTATGTTGCATGGCAGCAGCTGTCATTGGAGGACGCCGAGCACGGCACTGCGAACGAGGGAGCAACTGTACGATCTGATGTAACATGAGAAAAGAAACTGCAAGCTCTGAGATGTAATCGCGGAGCGCCGTCTCTGCACCAACATACACTCGCTCATCAGGGTCCCATTGATCTGATGCCCAGTATGCGTCGTCGGAACTTGCGTCGCTGTCCTGGCACATTGCGAGAATAAGCACTTCCCATCCGCCGGGGGAGGGGGACAGAATCTTTACCCTGCTTCTCTGCCCACTCTCATAGAATTCCAAATATTGATTCTGCGTGCGACGCACCACTGCCAGGTGGCAATTCGGGCCGTTGCTTACAGAGCCAACGGGCGAAGCTGACGCGATGCCAGATTGAGGCCAGGATCTGTGGTTAGTGTCGGCGCTACCACGTGCCAATTTGAACATGGACATCCCCATCAAGGCACAAACGGAAGACATGACCACGTGCAAATGGACACACGCACATTCAGGGTCGCACCAGCTGCAGGCGAACGATCTTTCTACAAACCATCGCCCTCCACAATGACCCAATCTGAATACTACTCTCCTGTTCATCGTCCACCCACACAAGACGTAAAACGTTGCTATCGAATCTGCTCTCCACCGAGAACGCTCCCGGTATTTCAAAATGATGTTCCCGCTGCAGCCCCCGCCTCATTTCAGGATCGGCGCTCTCGCCCAAGCGCGGGCTGCTCCTCTGGATCAGAGTCCTGCCTCATCGTTGTCTCCCCGTCCCTCCCCCATCCTTCACATTCCCCTGGTCCTCCTGCTGGCCCCGCTCCTCCCACTCCTTCTCCTGCTGCTGCTGCTCCTCCTCGTCTCCTTCATCCTCCTCCTTTTCCTCTTGTTCATCCTCCAGCTCGTTCGCTGCCTTTTCCTCCTCCTGCAATGCATGCATCTCCCTTTTCTGATTGCACATAACACGACGATGTCCTTTGGGGGATCCAGGTCCGCCATGACACCCGTCGACGGTTACGGAAACAAATCAGGGCAATGGGACGAGATGGGTGGGACGGGTCGGACGTTAGATATGGCGCGAGAGCACCCAGCTTGGCTCCTCCTCCCTCTCCTCTGTCATCTATACCTCAATCGTGTTCTTCATTCCTGAGCTCCTACACCCCGTCCATCCTCCTCCACCTCCGTCGGACTACGTAGTTGAGATGCGCAGACGGTCTCGAGTGGAGGGGCTGGTGGTGCATGCAGGTGCCTGCTTCTGCAGCATGGGCTGGGCTGCTACCGACGAAAGTTGTCGCAGGGTTAAAGAACGCCGCCAAGTGGCATCTAGCGAGTTGCGCAATAATCCTGAACCTCCGCCCTGCGAACTTCACGCAACACTCTGGAATATCGAGAGACTCAAAAAGATGAGAAGGATGAGTCGCAAGGAGGACGAAGACTTTGTTTCAACCATTTCCATGTTCCACGCTGACGCATGCTGGGAAAAAGGTCATCACACAAGAATCGGACTGCTGCCAGCCAGAAGGACAGCGCACCAGAACGGAGCGCTCCCCAGCGTCCATCAGAAAGGAATAAAAGGCAACCCACGAGAGGAACCGTTTTCAGGCAAGAGCTCTTCGATCCACATGCTTTTCTTCCTCCTCCTCCTCCTCCACTTCCTCCTCCTCCACCTCCATCTCCTCCTCCTCATAGAGACAGATCGATCGAGTCCCCCACAATGCCTTTGAAACGGTGGGGAGTGTGCTGTATGACATGGCTGCTGCAATTTCCCACGCACCAGACACTCTCCGCACATCACTTCTGAACTTCATAAACTGGTCGGTTTCGTACAGATGCGTTCGACTGCAGGGTCCACCAAAAGCGATGGGCGAATTCTGCACCCCTGAATACTGGTCGGCGCGCACAGTGGCCGTCCGTCCTCGCAGTCTCCTCCTGCAGCACGCGCGGCTTTGCTGTCGGCCACCTCATGCTGCTTCGCAGTCTGCTTCGATTCCTCCGTCTGGAACAATGGCTCCTCTGAGCAATACGGGGAACATCTAGGAGGAGGATGGCGACGACGACAACGACGACGACGAGCGCAAGGGCAGACAAGAGGAGCGGGCAGACCAGGAGGACGACAGAGATGCGGAAGAAGACAAAGATGGAGTAATGGGGAGAGGGGAGGGGGGGGGAAGAGGACGGTGCTGGGGAAGAGGGTGGGAAGAAGGTGGGCTAGGAGGGGTGCGTGGAGCGGGGGGGGGAGGGGAAGGGTGGAGGGAAGGGTGGGGCGGACGGGTGGAGCGGAAGGGTCTATCATCCCTGGCATCGGACGTCGTGAACAAGACGCAACTGTGTGGAGAAGTGCGTCTGGCTGGAGCTCCCGGCACCGCCCTCCTACCCTCGTGCACAGCAGGGCCGACACGTGAGCGGGCCGGGAGGCCCCTCAAACGGGGCGCACACGTCCGTCGCGACCCTGCCTGCAGGCCCAGAGGGGCCAAACCGAGTCCCGCTGAAGAGCGGCAAGACGAAGCCAGGACGAAGAGAAAAATTCGGGTGAAGATAGATCAGGAATCTCCGAGACCTGGCGGCTATGGAAAATGTCTCGGGCGCCGCGGCCTTCTCAAAGCGTTCTGGAACGCTCCCAGAGCGTTCTGGAACGCTCTGGGACGGATTTATCCTCGTCCTAGCCCCGTCCGTCCAAGTCTGGCTGAAGAACAGCGAGGCTCGGAAACCTCCGACGGATCAAGACTGATCCCCGGCCGGACCCCAGGAACGATCCAACTGGCCCGGCGAAAAGATCGAACCGCGGTGGTCGAGAGCGCCCGGTGAATCGATCGATGGACTGGCGACGCCTGCTGTTGCTGCTCTGCCTCGTCCACCTGCTCGATCGCCCAAATCACGATTGATGGCAGAACGATCCATCATTCGCGATGCAAGCCCAGACGGGCGACCAGCGTCTCAAAGCAGCAGCAGGGAGGAGAGAATGGAGAGGAGGACCATGGGGAGCCTAGGAGAGGGATGAGGACACCCTGGCGAGAAGAGACAGCGGCGCAGCGGACGCCAGCAGAAAAGTTGGGAGGCATAGACGCGTGATGCAGCGAGCCTCTACGCGACCAGAAACAGCCCCGCCAACACCACGCGCTCGAACGGCTTCAGGTCCTCTCGTCCCCCGCACCCCCTTCTATCAAGCGTCCTCCCTTTCCTCATTCATGCTCCCTCCACTGCATCACCCTGCCCTCGCCTCCACTACCTCCACCTCTGTCTAATCTCCAGTCCTCTCGTCTGTCGATTATGCAAACCATCTCTATGCGCACTTCTTCTCCACAGCTTCTCTGTATGAGTCCTACTCTCCTCTCTCCCCCGAAGATGGCCAAGGACTGGCACGCCTCTCTCGCGTGCGGTCTGTTACAAACAAGGCTTCAAACATTGGGCTTTCCTGTGGCTCTTGAAAAGAAGCGGCCGTCCTTCGGTCCTTCAAAGAAGTGCTGCCGCTGCAACGCGGGTCTCACTTTTAAATCGGCGCTTTGCTCCATCGTTCAGAATAGCACTCTCGCCCCGGCGCGCACCTCGTTTCTGGGTCCGAGCCTTTCCAAATCGTTGTCGCCCTCTCATTTCCCCTCCACCGCCTTCCCGAGGTCCTCCTGCTCCTCACGCTTCTTCTACTCCAGCTCCTGATGCTGCTGCTGTTTGCGCTCGTCCTCCACCTTCCTCATCCTCCTCCTCCTCGTTATGCTAATCCCCCTGTTCATCCTGTTCCTCCCCCTCCGATGCACGCAGCTCCGAATCTCCGAATGCGCTTTACACGATGGTACCCTTGTTGTAACTCCAAGTGCGCTATGACACGCGTCGGCAGACAAACAAAGCATCAACGCAACGGGAAAGGATGGGTGAGAGAGGTCTGATGCCAAATGTGTCGCAACCGCGCCTAGCTTGCCTCTCTCCGCTCTCCCTATCTCCCTCTACTCTCTCTCTCTCTCTCTCTCCTTCCCCCTCCCTCCCTCTCTCTCTCTCTCTCTGTTATCTCTCTGTGTATTTTCTTACCGGCAAAAGCATGTATATCATCTGCTCCCCTCATGCTATCTTCTATCACATCCCCCCTCATCTTGCCTAATGCATTTCCGTTTATGTTCCCGTGATGTCGTAGATTCCCTAAAAGCTCCCCCTCCCATGTAGATGCCACTCTCTGCCCTGAACCTCTTATCCGATCTGCCCTATCCACTATCATGCTGATCCTCCTCCTCCTCTCCTCCTCCTCTCCTCCCCTTCCTTTTCTTCTCATCCTCTCCTCTTCTCCTCTATCCCCCCTCATCTGCCCTGTCATATCCTCGTTCTCCCTCGTCGCCAATTCTCCACTTCCTCTTTCTCTCTTTTGCCTCTCACTCTCCCTCTCATCTTGTATGTACAAACATATATACAGACATCTCTCTCCCCCTCCGGCGTTCTCTCTCTCTCTCTCTGTCCCTCTCTCTCTCTCTTTGCCCCTCTCTCTCTAGCTCTCGATCCCATCTTCGCTTTCGGAACCTGCCCCTGAAACGACCCTGATTGATGGATCCAGCACTGAGCGGTGGGACGCGACAACACCAGACTGCCAGCTATGGAAGCATGGCGATGAGCAAGAAGGGGCAGATGAAGATGATGAGGAGGACTAGGACGAGACGGGGGAGGATCCGACTGGCTTTCCCAGTCAAAGCGTCTGTCGACCTTCGGAGCGGTGGCGCCGCGCCAGCGCCGACTCCACTCCTACATTCGATCGATACCATCTCCTCGGCCCCCACCGCAAGTCTGGCTGTCACCGCATTGACCCCAGCGCAGGACACGAGAGACGACATAGAGAGAGGGATAAGGATAGAGGCATCGTTGTTTGGCACATCCACCTTCGATACAACCATTGCCGCGATGATCGGCTTCGGTGCAGTCGCTTTACAGTCCACGGGGTTGCAATCCACACTGGTTCAGTTTTGCGCCTCACAATAATCGCTGATACGGCATAAATTTGCAGCAACTAGCTTGACAACCGCGCTTGCTACACTTCTGCGTTCACCTTCAACACAATCATGTTACGTCAACCGCACGGCAACCTAGAAACTAACATTACTGCGACCGCTTTCTAGAAACTAACATTACTGCGACCGCTTTCGAAACAATCGCTTTACGGTTCGATAGATACGGGAAGTACACATGTCACGAAAGACAAAGTGATACATGTAGACAGAGAGAGAGAGAGACGAACGAAGAGGTACCCATGTAGATGGTACAGTCACCGTGAGTAGAATCACCGTTTGGACGGCAACGTTGCGGCCACACCCGTGTCAATATTGGTCGCAGATGCATCGTGTATTCACGCGGGCTTCATTACTCACCTGAGGCACAATTGTCCACCCGCACGTGATACGATCCCACTCGGTACGGTCGCCTTGCAACCACCATACATACGACCTCTTTGAAAACCACTCGAGATGCCGTGCCGAAGCTCGCTGCCTTAGGTTGCACGCTCTTCGAAAGACTAAGACAAACACACCTTTGGAAGCGTTGGGTGCTCCGGCATTTAGCTTTCTTGGGGGGCCCGTTTTTACTTCGGCCAATTTCCGCCAGCGACGCAGCTAGTGTCATCGAAGACGAAGCCCGTTCTAGGACGCACTGCACAGAGGCATTTGCGTACGTGTAGTCAACGGCATTGACATGTATACGCAACTCGCTGACAGCCACGAATCAAGCGTCACGCAATCTCCCCATGCGAGTCCTCGCCCAAACGAGCCTCCCTCGCCTCTTGTACGATATACGACGAGATCGACAAGTGCCAAGCCCATACAGAGATGCCTGTTTTTTCGGTACCTGGCCCAGGGAACTTACACTGATCAACGCAATGGGATAGGACGGGTGGGGTGGGTGAGCTGTAATGCCTGATGTTGGCAAATCGGAATGGTCGCTGCCCCCTCCACAGCTACACAATATGAATATGTACTACTCCCCTCTCTCCCCCGAAGGCGCCTTTGGGGCATCCCGCCCCCCACCCCCCTCCGCGTACTGCTTTTTGGCACTCCGACTGTTCTCTTCGGAAACTCGAGATGGTGCTCCCGCGACAGCGTGGGCCTCAATGTCGGATCGGCGCTTTGCTCCCGCCGTGCAGAATACCGCTCTCGCCCCAGCGTGGGCCACTTTACTGGATCCGAGTTTTCTGTTCATCGCCGTCGCCCCCCTCTTTTTCCTTGCTTCGCCTTCCCCTGGTCCTGCAGCTCCTCCCGCTCCTTCCACTCCAGCCCATGCTGCTGCTGTTCGTCCTCGTCCTCCTCGCTCCTCATCCTAAGTTGACTCCTGCTCATCTTCCCGCTCATCCGCCACGTCCTCTTCCTCCCCTTACTCCTTCGCGCGCAGCTCCCACCTTCCGATTGCGCATGCCACGATTGGGTCTTTCTGACAGATCCGGGCCCGCTGTGACACGCGGCCCGCGGAATAGAGAAAACACAGCGCAGTGGTAACGGATGGAAGGGATGGGTAGAACGTAACACACGACGCGAGCGCGGCCAGCTTGCCCTGGCCCCCTCTCCCGGGAGCGGCCAAGAGGGGGGTGTGCAAGAGGGGGGGGGTGCAAATCATGACCGGCGGCACGTGCGCGGCCCAGCGGGGGGGCCAGGGACGTAATGAAATAAGAAAAGGTGCCATGAAATATAGGGAAGTATCATGGCCCCCGCCATGATATCCCCCCCCCTAGTCATCACCCCCCTCAGTCATCACCCCCCTCTTTGCCGCCCCCGACTCTCTTATCTGCCCCCTCCCCTGCTCAATCCTCCCTCAAATCTGTCCTCTCTCGTGATCTTGTATCTCGCGTCTGCCATGTCGCCTCCCTGCGCTGCCCTGCCCCATATTCAGTCCCTCTCTCCTCCTCTCCTCCTGCTGCCGCTGCTGCTGCCTTTGCTGCTGCTTCTCCTGCTACGCTCCTCGTCCTCCTCTTCATGCCCATCATCCTCTCATCAGTTCTCCTTTCTAAAAAGAGAATAGATTCTGCCCCCCCCCCCCAGCGGTATCGGTACCCGTTTCGGGAATGTAAATCGAATACGATTCTGAACACATGTCCATCCTAAATTTGAGATCGCAATGTCCCAGGCAAGCCGGTATCCCACCCCATGAGGTTCCATTTTTTTTTTTTTTTTTTTTTTAAAAAAAAAAAAAATGCGGTGACATTTTTGTTCTGGCGTAATACTTTTTCACGAACCCCTTGCAACGAATGGGACGAAGTGCACACGCGCGCGTCGTCGCGCGCGCATGCCGGAATCCTTGGAAACCTTCAAAAACATTCGGCGCCGAAAAGATTTCTCAATCGAGTTTCCAAAACAACATACAAAAACACATGGTTTCGTAACACTTAAAAAAACTTACGCGCGAGCTCTTGCGAAATCTGAAGAAAACCATTGGTTTTCAAGATTTTCACAACATGCTACCAAACGGGTGTCGCGCGCGCATGTCAACATCTGTCGAACGCCCTTGCGCGTGTGCCGTCGCGAGAATCCCCTGCAAAAATTAGACGAAGTGCAGACGCGCGCGTCGTCGCGCGCGAACGCCGAAATCCTTCAAAACCCATCGGCGTCGGAAAGATTTCAAAATCGCGCGTCCAAATTACGCTACCTAGGAACCCCACATACTGATTTTATGTATTGTGTGAACCTCGCTACCACTACCACCGCCGCCATGCTCTCAAGTGCCCCCTGTGGTCGTTGAAAGGCTGATCAGCCGGGAACCCGCCGGACGAAGGGTTCAGCAAGTATGCCACCAGGCGCTGCCTCCTCCTGCTATCGTCGTTCGTACCTGGGTGTGGCAACTCGTTATACCTCATGTAAAGCGTCTCGGGCCACCAATTCTTCAGTTGACGGTGATAGGCATCGAATGCGTTTCTTATCAGAGGCCCCTCGCAGCCACGCAAGCCTTCCAGGCTTACATCGTCGCCCGTTTCAGTCAGTGCGTTCTTCAGCTTCACGCACGGAGGCGGCAGCTGTCCAATGTCAATTTTGGGCGGCATTGCTGCCGCGCGTAGGCCGGGCGGCTGTTGCCCGCAAGTTGGAGCACAGACAAACTTGCGTAAATGCGCCGTCGTGCCGCGCCGGCTTGAGCCGCGATGTTTACGGATCAGGGTAAGACGTAAGCTCTCACGCGCAATGCGGTGGATAATCACTGCACCAAGAGATCACCCCCTGCGCTGGCCCTATAGTCCCGGAAGAGTGCCACGCCTGCTAAGCTTTGCGACAGTGTCGTGGATAGCGGCCGCGCTCAGAGACCCCCTGTGGTGTCGAGAAAGTGCCACGGCTGCAAAGCTTTGCGCCAGTGTCGTGGATAGCGGCCGAGCTGAGAGACCACCCCCTGCCCACCCCCTTTGGTGTCGAGAAAGTGCCACACCTGCTAGGCTTTGCGCCAGTGTCGTGGATGGCGGCCGAGCTGAGAGACCAACCCCTGCCCACCCCCTGTGGTGTCGAGAAAGTGCCACGACTGCTAGGTTTTGCGACAGTGTCGTGGATCGCGGCCGAGCTGAGAGACCACCCCCTGCGCACCCCCTGTGGTGTCGAGAAAGTGCCACGCCTACTAGGCTTTGCGACAGTGTCGTGGATAGCGACCGAGCTGAGAGACCACCCCCTGCGCACCCCCTGTGGTGTCGAGAAAGTGCCACGCTTGCTAAGTCTGCGCCAGTGTCGTGGATAGCGGCCGGGCTGAGAGACCACCCCCTGCGCACCCCGTGTGGTGTCGAGAAAGTGCCACGCCTGCTAGGCACCCCCTGTGGTGTCGACAAAGTGCCACGCCTGCTAGGCTTTGCGCCAGTGTCGTGGATAGCGGCCGAGCTGAGAGACCACCCCTGCCACCCCCTTTGGTGTCGAGAAGGTGCCACGCCTGCCCAGTGTCGTGGATAGCGGCCGAGCTGAGAGACCACCCCCTGCGCACCCCCTGTGGTGTCGAGAAAGTGCCACGCCTGCTAGGCTTTGCGCCAGTGTCGTGGATAGCGACCGAGCTGAGAGACCACCCCCTGCGCACCCCCTGTGGTGTCGAGAAAGTGCCACGCCTGCTAGGCTTTGCGCCAGTGTCGTGGATAGCGGCCGAGCTGAGAGACCACCCCCTGCGCACCCCCTGTGGTGTCGAGAAAGTGCCACGCCTGCTAGGCTTTGCGCCAGTGTCGTGGATAGCGGCCGAGCTGAGAGACCACCCCCTGCCCACCCCCTTTGGTGTCGAGAAAGTGCCACGCCTGCTAGGCTTTGCGCCAGTGTCGTGGATAGCGGCCGAGCTGAGAGACCACCCCCTGCGCACCCCCTGTGGTGTCGAGAAAGTGCCACGCCTGCTAGGCTTTGCGACAGTGTCGTGGATAGCGACCGAGCTGAGAGACCACCCCCTGCGCACCCCCTGTGGTGTCGAGAAAGTGCCACGCTTGCTAGGCTTTGCGCCAGTGTCGTGGATAGCGGCCGAGCTGAGAGACCACCCCCTGCGCACCCCCTGTGGTGTCGAGAAAGTGCCACGCCTGCTAGCTTTGCGCCAGTGTCGTGGATAGCGGCCGAGCTGAGAGACCACCCCCTGCCCACCCCCTTTGGTGTCGAGAAAGTGCCACGCCTGCTAGGTTTTGCGCCAGTGTCGTGGATAGCGGCCGCTGAGAGACCACCCCCTGCGCACCCCCTGTGGTGTCGAGAAAGTGCCACGCCTGCTAGGCTTTGCGCCAGTGTCGGATAGGACCGAGTGAGAGACCACCCCCTGCGCACCCCCTGTGGTGTCGAGAAAGTGCCACGCCTGCTAGGCTTTGCGCCAGTGTCGTGGATAGGGACCGAGCTGAGAGACCACCCCCTGCGCACCCCCTGTGGTGTCGAGAAAGTGCCACGCCTGCTAGGCTTTGCGCCAGTGTCGTGGATAGCGGCCGAGCTGAGAGACCACCCCCTGCGCACCCCCTTTGGTGTCGAGAGAGCGCCACGCCTGCTAGGCTTTGCGCCAGTATCGTGGGCAACGGCCGAGCTGAGAGACCAACCCCTGCGCACCCCCTGTGGTGTCGAGAAAGTGCCACGAGCTGTGCTGTGCTGTGCTGAGCTGAGCCGTGCTGGGCTGTGCTGAACTGTGCTGAGCTGAGCCGAGCTGTGCTGTGCTGAGCTGAGCTGTGCTGTGCTGTGCTGAGCTGAATTGAGCTGAGCTGAGCAGTGCTGTGACGAGGGGGGGAAGAGTGAAGTGTGTGTGTGTGTGAGTGAGGGGAAGAAGAAAGAGAGAGGAGGGCGGGTGTGGGTGAGACGCGGGTGCGGCGCGGGTGGGAAGAAAACCAGAACCCCACGAAGCATGTGGGGAAAAACCTATTAAAAAAAAAAAACAAAAGGTTTCGCAACACGGATTTTCAACAAAAGCGTGCGCGCGCGCTCTTGCGGCGTCGTTGTCGTCGTCGTCGCCGTCCTCCCTCCTCCCGCGTCGTCGTCGTCGACGTCGCCTACGTCGTCCTGTGTCTTTCCTCGTGTTCGTCGTCGTCCTCTTTGGCGTCGTGGTCGTTTCCGTCGTCGTTGTCGCCGTGGTCGTCCTTCCTCCTCCCTCGTCGTCGTCGTCGTCGTCCGTCGTCGGCGTCTCGTCGTCGTCCCTCCTATTTCGTCGCCGTCGTCGTCGTTGTCGTCGTCGTCTCGTCGTCGTCTTCCCTCCTCCCTCGTCGTTGTCGTCGTCGGCGTCGCCGTCCTTTCTCCTTCTTCGTCGTTCGCGTCGTCGCCGTCCTCCCTCCTCCCTCGTTGTCGTCGTTGTCGTCGTTGTCGCCGTCGTCGTCCTCCCTCCTCCCTCGTCGTCATCTTCGTTGGCGACGTCGTCGTCGTCTTCGTCGTCGTCGTCGGCGTCGGCGTCGTCGTCTTCGTCGTCGTCGACGTCGGCGTCGTCGTCGTCGCCGCCGTCGCCGTCGTCGTCGTCGTCGTCGTCGTCGGCCGTCTTGCTTCTCCGGCCTTCTTGGGGCGCTCTGGAGACGCCCCCGAGGGCTCCAAGACGACCCCGGAGCGAGATCTGTGCTCGGTCCCGCATGGGTTTTGCAAACCAAGTTGCGGGTGGGTGGGTGGGATGATTGCGCGAGCAGTGGAGTTGACAACTTCAAGTTCGGCAAGTGATTATTTTCTCCCTCCAAGGTCTCCATAGCGATCCTCTCTCTTTTGCTCATTCTGCTGTTTTTATCTCGGGGCCCTCTGCCGCGTCCATCCCGCCAATTTGCACCAACTCCATGGATCGGTTCAACGGGGTTATGGTTCAGGCATCTCTTGCTTCACGGCGGAGCCGCGCAAAATTCGGGGACAACAACATGACCATGACACCAGCTTCGCCACCACCACCGTGCACAGTATGGTGAAGGCTCTTCGGGCTAGGCTCGCGAACTTGAGATGCTCAACCAACGATGTATACTACGCTTCGGGCGAAGGCCCGCGTACACTAATGTATTTGTGTGTGTTGCCCGGGCTCCCAGAAATCACCGAACGAACCCAGGCCGCAGTCAGACGGGGTGTAGCCTGGTTGGGCTCCCAGGTCTGTACTTGTAAAATGCTCTTGTGCGCTATCCTTAGTTCTGGCATGTCCACCCACAGGCGGACTTCGTAAGACAAATGAAAGATAGTCCGACAATAACCAAGCGTAGTCAACAAAGCACGAACAAGTGTCCCCATACTACTTTTTAGCTGCTCTCGAATATTCCTCCTGTAGAAAGACATGCCCGACTTAAACGTTATCCTCCATACCCGGCACCCCGCTCTCCTCCACGGACGGCTGCGCGGACTCCATCCCAGCTCAGTGCGGCATCGAAGCCCCCGATGAGCCGCAGCAGGACGTCCACCAGAGTCGCAACAGCACAGCTGCCGCAAGTCTTTGGGTCTGCGCTGCTGAATTAGAAGAAGAAAAGACGCATAAACATACACTTTTAGGCGCTCCGCACGGATTTCTCGGATCTGCGCTGGACCCCAGTCCCTGGCGCGCCTCAGGCGCCAGGGGCGGCGCCGGAGGCGCCGCCGGGGGGGGCCCAGCGCGGATCCAAGAACTCCGCGCGGAGTGCCAAAAGTTTACATTTATGCCGTGTTTTCTTATTCGATGATGAACGCGAACTTCAGCTCCCTCAGGCACCGGCGCAGGTCCTGAACGCTGGCGTCGGTATCCGGAACACATGATTTCAACTAACAAATGCCGACACGATATGAACGGACCCAGTGAGCAAACTCTTCCTCCTCATTCCCCTGCGCCTTCTCCGTCGGCACCTCGTCCGAATATTTCCTCCTGCTGCTGGTGCGTTTTGGGCCCCTTCTGTCCTTTTGATAGCATTCCTCGCTTGCAAAGGTGCATGTGGATGCGTGGCCCAAAGCCCGAGAGCCAAGTTTCAGGCTCCCTCTTCCTTAGGCCGTCAAGTGGCTTGCGTGAGTTAGTACTGCCAAGTTCAACGCAAATTCTGTGACTCCAGCACAACTTACTGAACATGCCTTGTCCGACCCAGCGCTGACTCCCACTAACCTGCGTTGCGGTGTTGTGCTAGCTGGTTGTAGCTTAACTGGGAAGGATCAACATTTCGACGCCCTTATTGACGGACTGGGGCCCCACCACTAGCGGGAAATTATTACTTCTCCGCGGCACTCGCTGCGCAACAACGACGAGCGCGACTACGACTACGATTACGACTACGATCACGATACAACGATGTTTGCGCCTACGATTACGACTACAACAAAGACTACGTTGAAACTACAATCACGATCCCAGTCACAATTACAACCACGACTACAATTACGACTACTACAACCACAACCACTAATTCCTCTTGTGATCCTCATGAGAAGATGCTCAAACATTCTCTCGCGTGTAGGGTAGCCCACAACAAAGTATGCCTTGGGCGAAAACATAAAAAAACTAGCACGCCCGCCCAGCAATTGAGGGAACAAGATTTCCGCCGCGACGACGACGACGACAACGACCACGAGGAGGAGCAGCAGGAGGTTGAGGAGGAGGGGTGAGCAGGAGGAGGAGGAGGAGCAGGAGGTGGAGGAGGAGGAGAAGAAACGGACGAGGAGGAGGGGGAGGAGCAGGAGGAGGAGGATGAGGATGAGGAGGAGAAGGAGGAGGAGGAGGAGGGGGAGGAGGAGCAGGAGGTGGAGGAGGAGGAGGAGCAGGAGAAGGAGGAGGCTCGAGCTTGGTCCCCGCCGAGAGAAACAGGAGGGAGGGAGGATCAAAACTAAAGACCCTTCGAGGTTAACTGTGCTTGACCCACCTCCGTCGCCGGCCACGGAGCTTCACATTCTAACCCATCTGCGGGCTAAAATTCAGTGCTATGCCATGCATGTTACGTTTGATCCTGAAGAGGCGAACGTGGGCAGAAGGGACTCGCCTCTGACATCAAGCACTGATTGTGTGTATGTGTGTGTGTGAAGGAACCTGGTCCGCTGGTCTGTGCTTGCCCTTCTCCCCTTGCTCCTTTCCTCATTTCCTTCTTGCCCTCCTTCCCCAGCTCCCCTGGGACTCGCCATACGCAGAGGCTCTCGCTCTTCTTATTGCAGAAAAGACACTCGCACTGGCACCCGCAACGTACGAAGGGGAAGCCCTGATAGGACGCCACCACAAACTTGGGATGATCATTGCGCTACCTGGTTATACAAGTGGCCCTGACAATTGCAACACGTCGCAGGAAGCAATGTAACACTGAAGCATGCGTGCCCGAATCGGTGGCCACGCACAGCCTGGCAACGCCGCGTTGAGAACCCGAAAGGTCCTCCAAAAGACGACCAATCACCTTGGGAGCAGCTTCCTGGCAGTGGTCGCCGGACAATTCCGCCTTGACGCTCGCTGCTCGGCCTTCGTTGAGGCCGTCAAGGACCTGAGGCACGGTGGAGAGAACAGGCACGCTGCAGTCAGACATGTGGTACGGAACGAAGGGCCTGACTGCGAAGCACGCGCCCAGTGAGCAGATATCCCTCAACCCGCTTCCCGAACAATTGTGTGCACACGTGCGCAACCCACCATGCAAGAACGCACTCGTGCGCCATCGTGTCGTCAAGTGGATCTTCCTGTGTGAGTCGCCCGCACCATACTTATTGAGTTGATGAACCTACGTTGCGCAGTCATGCTTCTCGCACACACGCACACAAGCTGGAAACAACGACTGAGGATGGAGGCATAGACTTGCCAACTAGCTTCTACTTTAGCAGCGGCAGACCTGCGTCAATCTGGTCTAGGTGCCAAATCCTCGCGTGCCCCCACCCCCCTGCCTAAACAAATCGTTCAAGACCGCAGGGCCGTTCTCCCGACGGCGCCTCCAAGGCACCACGACGCGAAATACGATGTAGGAAAGGCCAACGACGTTCTCGGACTGGCCCATAACTGCTCAACTTCTCCGAGAACCAGCTAGATCGCAGCGCGACTCCCTGAGACGGCCCCGAGAGCTCCTGCGACGGCACCGCGCACCTCCTAAGCAGCTGCACATTCCTGGCACTGGAGCAGGCCCATGGAAGCAGGAAGCATTGAAACTTGTTTCGGGATGTCACTCTCTTTGGGCATGCTCAGCCATGAAGCATCCAAGATGGACTTTTTTGAAAGTGTATGGGTGGGTGGGTGGGCATGTTGAAAGCCGTTTCCTGGCTCCTCACCCACTTTCCTCCCTCCCTCCCTCCTCCTCGTCCTCCTGACTTTTCCTAACTCCTTCCCTCTCGTCCTCCTTCACCAGTTCCTCCTCCAACTTCCCTCTCTCTCTCTCTCTCCCTCTCTCTCTCTGTTGCTTTCTTGCTGACCATCTTGTCACCGCGCCCGGGCTCTTGGTCGGAGGCATGTTGATAGTGTCTTTGGATCTCTTGGGATTCCCCTGGGCGTGCTTTTCGAAGCCTCTTGGGGGCTTCTTGAGGATCTCTCGGGAATCTTCTTGGGGCCGTTGAGGGAGCGTCTTCGGACCTCCTGGGGCGCTTGGAAGCTTCCAGGGGGGATATCGGAGAAATATTGGGCGCCGGATCCCCCAATATGGCGCACTGAGATGGCCCCCTAAGGCTCCTCTTCGGGCCCTCTTGGTGCCTCTTGGGGCCGTCTTGGGGGTCTCTCGGGCCGTCTTGGAGTCCTCTCGGCGTGCCCTTGGGCCGCCGTGAGGCGGCCTGGCCCCGGGGCCGTCCTGGGACGACGACGGCCAGAAATGCCGAGCACACGGACATCCTTCCGACACCGGGAGCCTCTCGGAGGTCTTCTTCGGGCCATCCGGGGCCGCGCCGGGGGCATGCTCGGCCGTCGCGCGGACACCCTGGAGTCGGCCGCGTGCCCGGGGAGGGGGGGGGCGTGAGAAGGAGCGGGCCTCCTCGGAGGGTTCGGAAGTCCCCCCGCCCTCCGAGAAGTCCTCTGGGCCTGCCCCCGAGGTGCAGACCAGCTCGCAGAAGGCCGGAGACCCTCTGAGAAGCCCCGCCGCCATCCGAGGAGGCCTTCCCCTTCTCAGTTCCCCCCCTCGCCCGCCGCCGATCCCGTGTAGTTACGTGGGGCGATGCAGTCAGCCCGTATCCTGAGGACGCGCGAGGAGGATGCCCGGGCCGTGGAGGACCACTTCGAAGCTTTGCGAGCGGAGCGCGGCCAATGAAAGCGGCGAAGGATGGGCCGAGGAGGCGAGGATGCGAGCGCGGCTGCCCATCCTTGCTGCGCGGGCGGACGGTATTCGGCTTCGGGGGCCACCTGGAGCCTCATGTGGGCGCCGGCGGAGCCCCGAGGGCGCCCCAGAGAGAGAGAGAGAGCGCCGGGAGGCTGCTCCCAGCCCCACCCCCCCTCTCTTCCGTCTTCATCCCACGCTTGGCTGCCCCGATACTTCCCAGCCGGGAACACATCCCTATCCCGAAGCTGGGCATCGCCTCATCACAATGCCAATCTTAAGGATTCCCTTATTTTTTCAAAGCGCATCCCTAAGATTGTCATCGCCTTTTGGCGTGTCAATCTTAGGGATAGGGATAGGTTCGAGGCTGGTGAGATACGCAACACGCAGCACGCAGCGTCTTGATACGGAGCTCAGCACACATCCTGAAAACGTAGGTCTGACGCGATACGTTCGCCAAAACGTGGGCCAATACGTTGAGTCAACACGCAACGGACTGACACGGGACGTTTTGAGCACGGTACGTCTTGCGTATCGAAACGTGCGTATCGAGGCAACTAAGATCCCACGTGTTGCCGGGGTCCCAGTTCTGGGGCCCGCGACACCTCCCCCAGGATGCGCGTGTGTGTAGATGTGGGCGATTACAAAACCCTGAACCCAAATATGCTTTCATCGCGAATTGTCTACTTCCGCCGCCTTCCGCCGATCTTCCGTCGCCCTTCCGCCGGCTTCTGCCAGCGGAGGAGGCCTCGCTTTTAATTTCCGCCGTGCTTTCGCCGCCCTTCCGCCGCGGAAGAGATGACAACTCCTTTGATCCTCGAAGACAAGGCTCGTTTTGGAACGCGCCGTATACATTGTGTATAAATATGTTTGTCTGTCTCTATGTTGGTTTGTAGGCGTCCATGTATGTATGTGGATGCATCTAGATGTATACATGAACACATGTGCGGTACAGTCAACCCGAATCAGAAGGATGCGCGATAAGGATGCGAGGGCCTCGGAAGGCCATTTCGAAGCTTTTCAAGCGGGACATGGGCCGGAGGGGCAAGGATGCAAGTGTACCCCTGGGAAGGTTGCCCGTCCTTAATATGCGGGTTGACTGTATGTCAGTCTGTATGCGTTTTATGTATGTGTTTATGTAGGTGCATGTATGTAGGTGCATGTCGAAATCCGCATGTACGCATGTGTGGTAAGCGTTGTATATGCACACCGGGAATGTGAAAGAGGGAGAAAGAGAAGGAACGGCACAGCGAGAGAAACAACAAAAAGAGGAGGCGCGATAGGAGACTCTTGAGGCGACGAAGCGGGCCTTCTTCCAGAGGCCGGTCGCGTGCTGCCAGTAAAGGTCCTGGTGACCAGGGGTGCAACACACAATGCGACATGTGAAATGACGGTGCGAGCAGATATGACCAGATAAATGCAGTCAGCACCGCGTCAAGAGTTGGTCGCATCGAGATCGAACATCAGGAGCACATGTACGAGCCGGCGAAGATGTGTCGATGCGCTACACTGCATGCGATCCAACATAGATGGTGCACGTGATGGATGGGGGACATCTTTTCCATGGCGGTCGCCTTGTACAGATCAGGAGGACCATGATACCAGCGCGCGGGAACCACTCTTGAGTGGAACTTGCTGTGTGTGTGTGGAACCTTGAATGTGTGTGTGTGTGTGTGTATGTGTGTGTGCGTGTCTGCGCGTGTGTGTGTGTGTGTGTGCGTGTGGAACCTCATACCTGTGGATCCCCTTGTGTGATACCCATGGGCGCGAAGCCCCGTACATGGAGGAGAGCCCAGAATCAAATCGATAAGTCAGATCGGCGATCGAAATGAGTCGGATCGGCGGTAATCGGCAGCCGAGCCGGGAAAAGTCGAATCGACGAAAATCAGCAGGCTAGTAGGCCTCCGTTGAGAAATCGGAGCCCAAATTGGAATCCGAAGTCGAATCGAATCGGAATCGGAAGACACCGAAATCGAATCAAATCGAATCGGAATCGGAAAACACAGAAATCGAATGCGAGCCCCCACGCGTGTCGAATCCAATGCCCGAGCCCAGCACGTGTGAAACCCCATATGTGCGGACCCCCCTGCGTGGAACCAACTCTGTGTGCGTGCGTGTGTGTGTGTGTACGTGCGTGCGTGTGTGCGTGCGTGCGTGTGTGCGTGTGTGTGTGTGTGTGTGTGTGTATGCGAGTGTGTGTGTGTGCGTGTGTGTGCGTGTGTGTGTGTGTGTGCGTGTGTGTGCGTGTGCGTGTGCGTAAGTGTGTGTGTGTGTGTGTGTGTGTGCGTGTGTGCGTGTGTGTGTTCGTGTGTGTGTTCGTGCGTGTGCGTGCGCGTGCGTGTGCGTGTG